TTGTGAATTAAGTTGTCAGCCCTTTTGTTGGGCACTAACGAGGTCACCGAAACTGTTACCTCTTCTCCAAACTCCAACACTAACGAGTTATGTCGAAGCCCCAACAAACTTCGACGAACTCTCGCCGGCCTTCTCTCTCCTTTCCAATCAAACCAATAGCACCGCCTCTAACTTTTAAGCATGCCCACGACTTCACCATGCCTCTGTTGATAGCATCCAAGAATCAACATACCCTGTTAACCCTGTAGGAACTCTGACATGGTCTCCAAACCTCTCATATTTGTTAAAAGTCTCCTGCCACCTAACAAAGCTCTCATTACTTTAAGTTCATTTTGGACAGACTTACTTGAGGGATTAAGTTTAAGGGTCCACGTAAAAGATCAATAATGTTTTCCTACTATGACAACCAGAAGATTAGATTTCAGTAAGAATTTTATTTTTTTAAGGATTTGCTATTCCTTTAGTTGAGAAATTTCAGTTAAGAAATTTAGTTGAGAACTGTTATACGGGTTTATTGATTAGTTAAAGATATTGAGTTATTATTCTGTTATCTTTTAGTTAGGAGCTTATTTGATTTGGTTAGTATTCGATTCTATAATATATGAGTTGAGCTAGGCTACTTCATTAGAGAGAGAAGATGAGGAAAACTCAATTTATGTGCGATACCCTACATGTGAGTTACAACAAGTATTATATTAATACATGAGTTACTTGTGTGAGGCCTAATTTTTATATCTTTTACTTACTAAATGAAGAGTGCAATTTTAAATTGAAATGTCTTAATTGATAATTATTTTTGTATTCAATTCCTCTCAACAAATCTCTATAATTTCATTCTCACTAGTTACTATCATATCAAATTGACCCACAGTTTTAAGTCAGTAATTATTATTAAGAATTAAGATTTCAACAACCTCATGCTCAAGTTCATCAAGTTGCAAATACTTCTTCAGGGCTTCAGGTTAAAGGAGATTCATCATCAAATTTTAAAACTTGAGGGTGAATTTTTTTTAACTAGAGGATATTTGATGCAAGACAATTAGAAAATTAAATTTTAGTTAGGGTTTTATTCTTTAAAGAAATTTGATTTTCATTTGGCTGAGAAGTTTTTTAGTTAGGATATGAAGCTAGGAATTATTATTTTATTTTATCTGTTTGCTATGATATTTAGTTATGAGTTTGTAATTTTTTAGCCAGGAGTTTGTTTGATTTGATTAGGATTTGATTCTATAAATAACACTTCTTCATTTAACAGGTGAAGATGATAAAAAAAAAATTATGTGAGATACTCAGATACATGAGTTTCAATAAGCATTACCATGCATATGAGTTTTCTAGCGAATAAGATGTCCGGGCGAGAGGCCTCACATTTGTATCTTTTCTTTATTATGTGAAAAGGAGAATTTCTATATTTGTATCTTTTGTTTTATATTTATTTTTCATATATCCAAATAATTCCCCTCAATAATCTCCATCTCTCACTTCGATCCCCATTAGTGAGAAAACTGCTTTTTGTAGAAACATGTCACTTCTAATGAAATAAGGGGGCGTTTGGCAAATCAAAAGTGAATTGAAAGTCACTTTTTTTACAAGTGAGAAAATGTATCCATGTCAGTATGCAAGTAAAATTCAGTGTTAGTTTACAAAAGCAAATCATTGTTAAAAAGTGAAGATGAAATGGCAATTTATTTTATTTATTAATTTACTTAAAATCATATGACATTGTGGAGATTTTTTTGGCAAGTACAATTAAAAAGCATTCATGGATCATGTTAAAAACACACAAACTAGCAAAACTAGAAGCAAAGTACAAAATTTAGTATATAGCATAACAGTTTAGGAAAAAATTCATGCAAAGTCCCCTTATGAAATTAAATCGCTGACTGGAGATTACGATGAAAAATAAGGTTTTTATAGTTGTCCCTCGAATCTTTAATATATTAGTACTAGCCCCTAGTAATTGAAATTGCTATTAGGTCGCTCAATTCTTATATTTTGTTACTACTATCCTTTTGACTAAAGGGATTAAATTGAAGCAAACTAAAAGTATCTAAGGACATAATAGCAATTTTAATGATTAAAGGGCTAGTTTTGCAACAACTCATAAGTATTTAAGACATGGACAGAAATTTCAACAATTTGAGGAACTAATTTCAAAAAGTAAAGATCTATAGGACTAATATAGAATACTCTAAAAAATATCATATTCCATACTTCAATTTTTTCAACCACATCGGAATATAAATTCTTAACGGGCAAAAATTATTTTTAGTTAAAAGTGGTCCACATTTCACTTTCATTTGACCTCCGTGCTTTCTTAGGAGAAGTTGAATTTGCATTAAATCTTACGTGGCAATTTTTTTATTTCACTTTGATATACACTTTCAACGAAACAAACACCAAAAGTGATAAAAGTGAGCTACTTTCCCACTTACATATTTCACTTTCAAGTAAACGAACATCCCCAACGAAATTTTCTAACTATATGTGTTACATGTCTCCAGAATATGAATACATTATTATAAAGACTTCTTAGTCCACTATGCTATGATATTATGACATGTGAGTCGGTTGCTTTTTTACTCGTCATAGAAACATCTCACTTATGATGAAGAAGTAAGAGATTACCTAGCTAACTATGTCATATGGCGCCAAGATACAATGAATATACATATTATAAAGACCTCTTAGTCCACTATGCTCCGAAATCTATGAGTTGTGAGTCAATTGCACGATTTGCAGTTCCATTAACTATTAGATGCTCAAAACGCATTCAATGTGGCCTCTAAACAAGTTAAGGCAAGCTAGTTCACTTCATTCTAGGTGATTTTCTCCAATCTGTTTATGCCTATTTCAATGCCTATAATCATGCTAACCATAGGACTTATTGAGCAGTGTATTTGAGATATAGGATTAGACAAAGAAAAAAGTTGTAACTTCACAATTTGTTTAGATGATATGTTATATGTTAGCTATGAATTTCAAACCAACAATAGGACTTGTCAATTTGGCACCTCATAGCCAAAAGCTGAATCACATATGACTTCAGACAGCACAAAATCTTGTAAAATACTATTCTTCCACTCCGTGACATACAGTTTTCACATCGTTTGTTTCCAGTGTTTTAATACAACTTGTCTGATCCATTATAAAAGTTTAGTCAAACTCACTTAGTATGTGCAGACCATTTCCCCCTTGTTCTGGTAAGTAGTTTCTCTTTCAGATATAAAGTACAATAGCTTTGATGCCTTAGTAGCTATGTCACTAAGTTCTTCAAAGGTATATAGTGAATAAAAAGATTCCAATTTACTTTCTGATAGGGAATGGTGAACAGGGATCGTCGAGAAAAATCCAAGATTAACAGTAACCGGATGAACAGTGCCCACGAACAGTAGTTTCTGCTTTTTATTTAACAAAATCATAAACAAAAGAAAGATAACAGAACAGGATAATTCTGAATTTCTGATTACTCGGTCTCACCCACAACATCTAACTTAAAAAGATGGCTTCATGCCTAGCAACTCATGCTTAAAAGAGAGATTTCGCAAACTCACATATTTTCGTCAATCAATGTATGTTTTCCTCATGGAGAATTACATCTTATTTATAAGGGAAAAACGTAATATCAAATCACTAAAATCTTATCTAATAAAAATGAAAATAATCATCACCAAATATCTAACAAAAATATCTAAAAAGATAAAATCTCAAACTACTAATCCCTATGAAGTAAAATAAAATCTAGATACAACAAAATCCTAAATATATTGCTACATAAAATGAATCCAATCTTAACTTGTCTTGCATCACTTTCTATATAAAAGAATTGCAATGATGAATTATGCGGTTAGGAGTTTTAAGAGCTTTTTATTGTGTCTTAGAGATTCTTTTTATTAACCATTACTATGTTTTGAAATTTATGATGTGGGAACTAAACTATCTTGCTTATACCATGTGTCTGAAGTGCATGTGAGGCTAGACGTTCAGTCCTACCACCATTTTGATGCTCTCCTTTACCAATCATCTCTCATAAGTCGTAACTATATTTTTATTCAGGAAGCTCTAATATTTAGACCCAATCTTTACCGTGATCCTCTTTGTTTCTATTTACTTCAAATAGAGTTCCAATAAATTTATCACCATTAGTCTTCTCCTATGGTTAAAGAAATAAACTATGATCACTAATCTCATTCTCTTATAATAAAAACAAATAAACTGTGTCACTAATTCCAACAGGATATATATCATTGTTGACAGAGGGAACAGGCAGACTTTCAACCTTACATTTGATACCAGCATGCAAGCCTTTTTATAATGAAAAACACTCTAGATTGTATTTTATTAAGTGAACATTATTATGATTTCATATCAGGGTTAAAAGTATTATTTCACGTCCAATGAACATTTTGATAATTTGAAATCTCAAATAAACCAAGTAGTCCCCCACTTGTATTCCAAACTTATGTTTCCACAAAAGCATGGGCAAGAAAATTCACATTCAAACAGGGCAGCAATGCTGGAAATTAACTGGAATAAACTGAGTCTAATTGAAACATTTGTGAATGTTACAAATGTTTGAAGATTTTCAAATTCAACGAAGTGTTTAACTTAGTTAAAACCTTCAAGGACATGATTACATCATGTACTTCGTGGTTTCAGTAACAAATTCCTTTCTTTCTTTCTTTTTCCTTGAGCCCTAGAATTTGATATGTCATTTTTGCAGGCCATTGGGGTTCTGCCGAAGAGAGGCCCCCAAGGTTGATAGATTTTCCTATATTCCCTCAAAATTGAAGTTTGAACTCGAATAAAGAAAAACACCTGAATTTGCATTACTCAATCAAAAACCCTATAATTGACTAAGAATGACAAAACACTGAAATGCAATCATCTTCACCCCACCCCAACCCAAAAAAAAAGCATTTTGCCCAAGCAAAGTAATCAATCGAACAAACCCTAACCAAAGAAAGGGTACGAGAAAAAGAACGTAAGAATCATTGGACCTGTTGTTTGACTCCGAGGGGGGAGGCCGATATGTAGGAGACCTTCCAGTCGAGGAACGCAAAGGGATCCCCAGCAAGAACCGCATCCACAAGCAGCACAAGAGCAACAAGACATGAGAAAGAGGAGGAGAAAGAGGATAGCAGCATTATCCCTGATGAGATCTGCTCTCTTTCTTCTTTCTTTGAATCCTTTTGCCCTATTTCTCAGAACAGCTCACGGTGGTGAGTTTTTGATACAGTAGAGTGGAGCTGCTGCTACTGTAGCTTTCTAGTTGGTGGCGTTTTTTTTTTTATGTGTGGGGGTTTTTTTTTTTTTTTTTTTTTTTTTTTTTGTTTTGGACAATTTTGGACTGATGTCGCACGGGAGAACTAAGAAAGGAAAGAAGCAGATAGGGATCCGCTGCTTTGCTTTCATTCTGGGCTCCATTAGTGGCATTTGTTCTCAATTTTGTACCCAGAGTTTGAGTTTACACATCGCCCCATCTTGATACCCTGAAAGTGTCATTTTAACACTCTGATACCCAGAGTTTGAGTTCAATTTCACATTGATGCGCTCTATGTATTTATTTGCTTTAGATTTCAGTAATTTGTATGACGCATTTAGCTAATTCTAGAGTATCAAGGTTAAAAAAGATGTATTTTTTGTGATATCAAAGTGTTATAAATAAATAAAAAAAACTTTATTGAGATGGTGTAAACTTTGGAGTGTCTAATTAAAATGCAAATAATCCTTCAGTATTAGGAAAAAAGAAAAGAGAAATCAGAAACCAAAAACCAAAAACCAAGGAATAGCAGTGGGCTCGACATTGCTCGCAGACCCATTATGTATTTTATAGCTTGTCGGACCTATTTGAAGATTCAAATTTAATAGATCTATCAAATAAAAGTTCGAATAGCTCAAATCTAGTTTCCCACTTAAAACTCTACTGGTGGTCCACAATTCATAGTAGTTTATGATCCGCTTGTATTGATGTGGCATTATAATTTTATGAGGTATATTTAAGCATAATTAATATAAATTCATAATTCAAAAAGCAAAGAGATGAAATTGGTTTGCTCGGAAATAACTACTTAAATGAATTTAGGTAAATTATTATATTAGAATTCTTAGATATGTAGATTTAGCACTGCCTATCCTAACCCAATGTTGTTTTGTCAGCACTGTCTGTCCCAATCCAGGATAAATGAGGAGGGTTGTGTTAGGTAGCCATCAGCCAGCGCAAAACATAGTCAGATCCACATGCAAAATGAATCCTATTATATACTCGTTGGGGCGTCCCCATCGCGACGTGTTGCATCGATCCCACCCCGATGCAATGATAAGTAAGCAATGGTAGTTTGCTAGGGCATCCCCTGGAAGCGACACATTACATTGATGTCACCCCGGTGTAATAACAAGTAAGCAAGGGTGTTCTAAGAATCTACAATCCTCTAATAGGGTACATAATAGTATTAGGCATAGACTAGAACGGTCTAAGAGGGAAAATGGTATGAGACTTTTACAAGAAAATAGAATTAGATTAGCTACTTGGAATATAAATACACTTACAGGAAAGACAATGGAATTAGTGGATGTCATGATTAGAAGAAAGATAAATATAATTTGTTTACAAGAAATTAAATGGATAGGTGAAAAATCTAGAGAAATTGAAAAGACCGAATATAAACTTTGGTACACAGAAAAAGAGAAGACTATGAATGGAGTGGGAGTTCTTATAGATAATATAATAAAAGAAAATATTGTGGATGTAAGAAGAGTTGGAGATAGAATAATACTAATAAAAATTATCTTAGATGTAGAGGTTATTAATATTATTAGTACTTACGCACCACAAATAGGCTTGTCCGAGAGTACTAAAAGGGAATTTTGGTATAGATTAGATGAATTAGTACAAGGAATCCTATTTGGAGAGAAATTACTTATAGGAGGGGATCCTAATGGGCATGTTGGTAAGGATAATAACGGATATGAGAGGATACATGGAGGTTTCGGGTATGGAGATAAGAACAATATGAGTAAATTAATTCTAGAATTTGCAATATCATATAATTTAATAATAGCAAATACACTCTTTAGAAAAAGGTATGAACACTTTATAACCTTTAAAGTGGCTTTAATAATAGTCAAATAGACTTTTTTTTCTTACTAGAATGGCAGATGGATTAATATGTAAGGGTTGTAAAGTTATATCAGGAGAGTTTAAGAACACAACATAGATTGATAGTCTTAGACATATTTATTAAAAAGTAGAGTAGAAAAACTAACATGAACAAAAGACTAAGAACTAAATGGTAGAATTTAAAAGGAGAGAATTTAATACATTTTAAAAATAAGATAATGAAAGAAGATATATAGAACATAGATAATGAGACTAATATTATATGGAATAGTATGTCTTCTCATATTAGGAAAGTGGCTAAAATATACTATGAGAATCTTAAGATTGTAGATTAGACGGTAAGGAGAGTTTGTGGTGGAATGAGAGTGTGCAAAAGATTATTAGAGAGAAGAATACTTTATATAAAGAGTGGCAAAAGTGTAGGAGTAGGGAAAACTTAGAAAAATATAAAATAGTAAGGAATGAAGCAAAAAGAGCG